TTTAGTAGCATATTATGGCTACTATCTACTACAATTTGATGTCAAACATATTTTCTTACATGAAGACTTAGATAAACAATTTATGTGAATATTCCACCAAGATATCATGAGTCAAATGATGGTTCAATATCCCAGCTAAAAAAGTCATTGTGTAGACTAAACCAACCACCCAAAGTATATTTAAAAAGCTTACAAAAGTGATGTTCATATGGGTTACAAATCAAGTAATGAAGATGTTAAAGCTAGATTTTTTGTGTTCTAATTAGTTTTATTATTGAATTATTTTTAACTTGCAGAATAAATATAGGATATATTATTAAATTTTGAAGTTTAAAGTTAAACTACTGTGTAATTTTAGATTATTTAAAAATATAAAAGAATAAAATATAAAAAAGAATCTGTCCACTAGTAGGCCGACACTCGACAACTGACTCAAAGGGGCATTGCAGTCGAGTAGGTAGACCCAAACTAAGGGTGCCATGAGCTAGGCTCGAGTGGTGAAGGACTCACTTTGTGCATGTGCATCACTCCCCTGTCATGTCTTGATAACTGACTGGTCATAAAGTAAAGAGCATCCGTACACACGTGTGCGCATGAAGATGGACCAACTTTTTCCCTTCTCCTAAGATGGTCATGGGTATTATTTCAGGAGGATGGATTAATTGCTTTTGTGCATTTGAATGCAGCCATCTAGAGCACGGTCTGATTCAGTAGTATTTAGTGAGCCACATCATCCGATTAGTCAAATACTATGACTAGTGAACCGTCATGATACCAAATGCATAAAATGATCTATTGGTAGTTTGCAAATCTGACGCCACATAGCACGCACATAACCTTAAAGGATGATCTGATGGGTAAGGAGTTGCCATGGTACTAGGGACTTAAGTTCCTAATTGACAATGGTCCGTGGCGAGTTGATCTTGTGTCACTCAACATGCCATGTGACCAAGCACAACTGATCTAGTGACTCCCAAAGTGCCACAATACTGGGAACTTAAGCTCTCGCACATGTCAGCATCATAGATATAAAGATAATAATCAACTATTATCTAATAAAGTAGATATTATCGATTATCTTTAAAATCCTGACAACAATCGTAAATATAACAATTTGTTTCCTTCCTCCTTTTGCATGATCAACACCTTTGGCACTCACTAAGCTCATTCATGTCTCCTCCAACTATACTCAAGGCCTCTGACGAGTAGTCAGCTCTTTCCATCTTCTCCCAGACGATGATGACAACATGGTCAACCTCTTTTTTGGTGGATCCCTCTGCCAAGCGACGCAACACTTTCGAACAATACTGATATGACTTTTGACATAGTGTGGCACGTTCGAACGAATCCAAGCTATCACATTAGTGTCTCTAACTACCTAGAAGTAGACTAAACTTAGACAATGATTTATTTTCTACTTTCAATATTTACTCACCAACTTTTATCATTTATTTATATTTTGTGGCAAGTATTTTTGTTTCATGCATATTTCGATTGAAATGAGTAGAACTAATTCAAAACATGATGAATAATCTTCATTCTTCTTCTAAATCCTTTGAAACTTGTCTAAAATTAAGCTAAGTTCATTTCTAACTTATTTTCTATTCTTTTTTGCAGTCAAATCTTGACATATCTATGTTCTCGATGTTTCACAAATAATGAGTATTTTTCTATTTTCGAATGCAAAATCAATAAGATTAAAGGTTGCTTAATGATCGTTGAATTATTAAAAAAAAGTGAAGACATTCACAGCTAACTTCATGTCATGTGTGTGAATTATTGAGCACACATTTGTCTGAGAATAATGATCACTGTGAAAACGAGTTGACCATATTTCTCTCTTTTCTTATTATCGTCTTATTTCTCTCTCCCTCTCTCGTGAGACTACTTTCTCTCTCTCTATCTCTTATGAGGTCTTCTCCCTTTATCTCCCTCTCTCTCAATCAATCTCTCTCTCTCTCTCTCTTTCTCTCTCCCTCTCTCTCATGAGACATTTCTCTCTCTCTTTCTCATGTGAGATTCCTTCTCTCTTTCTCTCTCTTTCACAAGAGATTTCATCTCTCATTCTTTGTGAAAGCTCTTTCTTCTCTCTCTCTTCCTCCTTTTTTTCCACTTCTCTCTCTCGATTCTTGTCACCTCACCCTTCTATTTTATTATTTCTATTAAATATTAATAAAATATTATAAATCAAATGATAAATAAAATTAATAAATATATTTGAAACAAAATTACTATTTCCTTTCATTCCCTCAAGTGTCATCAAAGTGTCAAGATGAAGAGGGCTGTTGAAGTAAGCTACTTGAGATCTTCTTCAAATTCAAGGCTTCATCAAGTTATTTTCAATCTTGATTTTCTATAGTGTGGAATGAGAGAATGTAGAGATGATGACAAGAAAGCAGCTGCTGCCTTAGGGTTCTTGACTTTATCACCTTACCCTAATTTGGGAAAAAATGTTATTTGACATATTTGTAATGGGCCTTCCCTTTTAAAACAATTATTGAAACCAGGCATTCTTTAGTTTGGGTAGATATGGTCCACTTGATGCTTAAGTGACTCAATTAAATTCTTCTTAATCATACTAAGATTTCCCCTACCCTATTTGGTCACATTTAGTGGGATCCAAGCTTGGCCTTTAATGGGTCTAGCTTGAGAAGATAATAAACACAAAACTCTCATAAAAATCATATTAAATAAAAATTATTTTTTTATGATCTATTTGATGCCTTAATTTTTCACATAATTCATCTTGTTACTATATGCATATGATTAAATTTATACAATGAAAACTTCACCACAAAATGTCAATCTCAGTTAATCAAATTTAGTCAAGAAACATATTTCTTCTATTAATTGGAATAAATTGACTTTGAGTCTTAATTTCATATTCAATTGCATCACTATTCTAATTTTAGATAAACAAAGATTTTTGGAGTGAAACTCTACAAGATCATCGTATTCTTGAGGGTGAAGATTGAAATTCACATTCTTGATGTTTCTTGATAATATAATGATCATGATTGGTAAAAAGAAATATTTTTATGAATTTACATCTAAGAGAAAGTCATCATCCATGTTATAACCATAAACACAAAAGTAATTTGTTTAATGTTAACCTTTCAAGTGAATATATCCAAGACCAAGGGCGGTTGAATACCACATATATATAACCTGAATATAATTATCTCATCAGGCCTGCATTGCCCAAGAGAGTTGAATGGTGTGACTAGATGTACTTTAATGATCTATTAAAAATTCTAACTAGGTTGCAGAGGTTCCAATATTCCACAATCAAACAATTTTCTTGATGGACCTCTAGGAGTCATAAAAAAAAATCAATAGACAAAAGACTTGAAGATTGAGCTTTCAATTCTGTGAGGAATTTTTCACAATGGTGCCTAGATTCTTTGTTGGATACTCACATAAGACATCCTTTTCAACTTAGCACCTTTGAAATGCACTCAAATTGAAGGAGCTTAGCAACTTATGCATAATCTTATCTTTACCCAAATGAGTTTCATATCAAGATGTTAGAACTCTAAGGCTTGGTGCCAAAACATTTTCTCAAAGGTTTGAGAGAAAAACCTTTCCATTTGGGATTTAACGTTCAATAATAAATGGATTATATGGTTTAATATAAATCTACTTTAGTTGTCATTAATTACATTTGATTAAGCATGATACCACTTTTTAATCTTCAGCCCACACCATGGATCTTGGGATGCCTCATGATGTTTGAATGTAATAAGATCATACCTAAGTTGAATATGGTGACAAAGAGATATGACAACTAAAGTAGATCTTCAACTTAGGTATGAAACCCTTTTAAGAAAGGATTCATACCTAAGTTGAATATGGTGACAAAGAGATAGGCCTATTTCATAACATTGTGAGTTCCATAAAACTAGCTTAAAATTAAGAATAAATGTGTGACATCAGAAGTAAGACAATATCTCATCTCTTTTTGATTATATGTGCATTTCATTAATTCAATAGGGGCATATGATCTTTGTATTTTAGGGAAATGGATAACATTTTTTATTAATGAAAATATATATATATATATGAGAATTTATGAAGGTAGCAGATATAGACAAACAAGGAATAAAGACTAAAAATATTCTGTTAGTACATAAAGGAATCATATTATTTTGCATTTCAGGGTTAGAAGCATCTGCATCTTAAAATCTTGGCACGTAAACAAGGAAAAATATATATATAGAATAGCAATCATGCTTTGTAAACAAGGGAATTTCTCCTAGAACAAAATGCAACTATTTCATAATAAATGGCAATTACGAGGAAAGCTCCTCATGTACATGTCCCACTTGAACTTCAGCTGAAGAACACCAAGGAAAATACTCTATGAGAATAAAAGAAGGGGGTTGGGAGAGAGATAGACTACATGAAGAAATAGACCACCAAGCAGTGCCAAGACAGAATTGCAGGGAAGAAAATCAACAGAAATTATAATCTGCTTCATCCTAAAATGTAAAAGATAAATCTGACCAGATACTGGAATCACATCTTGCTACGGATTTACAGGACCAGGTCAAAGAATCCAATGTTCCATTAAGCAATCAAGTCCGGGTCCACAAGATTACCCATCAAAGCCGAAGGAGAGCATATAAGAGGAACAATGTTGGCCACCACCACCACTTCAACACCTGCAAATCTGCCCTGAAGGAGAGAGAACACAAGAGACACGCCAAGAGTTACCACTCAAGAACCCTCTCCCTCCTAAGTCCAAGACACATGGGGACCACCTCCAGGGCCAGCAGGACCTTCTGGGTAATGCATCAATCAATAATAAAATTAAGAATTTCATTTCATAGGTACCCATCAAGTTAATTAAAATAAAAGTTAGTAAAAAAAACAAAAGGAGATTGAGAAAATAAAGCATCTTTGGTAATGGCCTGTATTCAACAGAACAACAACCATCTTTCCCTTAGAAGCCACCCACTCAAAAGGAACCGCCCATGCAGAAAAATTAGGGAAGAAAGTTAAAATGTCCTGGAGTACTTCTTTATTTCATATAATATGGAGGATATGGAAACCAGATCCTTGTTCAGGGAAGAACCACCCCCGATCCTCTTGACACACTCGGAGAGCCTGGTGTAGTAAAGCAGGAGCTGAGTCAGTGCTGCCTTCAGGATCTCCATTCCACAGAGGAAGTTGCTGAAAGAAGTAATAACATCCTTGTGCATCAGCTCAATGGCTGCCTTCCATCTGCCGGCAAAGTCCTTCACCAGAGGCTCCACGTCGGCAACAGTGGGTACATCTGAGCCGGAGGTATCCTCAGCTGAGGATTAAAAACTGGTGTAAGTAAAAGATCCCACAATGATTTGTGGTTGTTTTAGTAAATGGAGAGAGAGAGGCTTTGCATGTCGCTCACAGGCTCTGGTCTTCACGAACTTAATTAAATCACTGAAGTGCTCAAGCAGCAGCTCTTCCTGTGAGATATGCACGGCTCTATTATTTTCCAGAAAAATATCAAGCATACTAGGCTTTCAGGGATTCTTTTAATACTAACAATAGTAAAATTTCTCTAATTCAGGCAAGCTGTGGCAGTGGTAAGCTAGTAAGGGTTGGTGTCAGGGGAATACGCAACCCTGAATTAGTTATGAAACCAGAAGATCCAATGGAAGCTTGGGAGGTCTTCTTGGAATATTTTACCCTCGATTTTTATGTGTTAAATAAGTTATTGTTGGAGTGGCCGCATAAGACATTCAAGTCTGGACATTAGACAGATATCATGGTATGCAGGACTTACCCTCCCTTTAAACACATTGTAACAATACTAGACAGATAATCATGGTAACAATATGATTTTGAGGGAAGTCTAGCCCTCCCTTTTGATAACTTACCCACTGGTCAGGGAGGATGAAAGATGAAGAAAAATAACGAAAATTTAAATTTTAAAATAAAAAAAAAGGGAGTATCTCTGCACAACGAAAATTTAAAATTTAAAATAAAATTTAAAACCAGAAGCTGCTGCCATCCCAACATGTCACGCACTTCTGCACAATGGATGAGGGGACTTTGGGGGTTTTGAAGGAGTATCTCTATAAAGCCCTCTTATATAACAGAATTTAATATACTTCATAAATTGAAATGAAATCAATTCCGACTTGTTAAATCAAATTTGGGTTTGTTGAATCAGATGGTTATAAACCTAATCCGGATCTGATTGGCATCATTGACCCAACTTGCTCGATCCAATTCGGTATTGCTAACAGGCAACTCATTATAATATAGTTTCTCTTGGATACTGATAACTACTTACCACAAAAATAGCCGTATTAGTTTTTAACATTTCATCAAAATAGATTTGGGCCTTCCCACCCTCTGCACTCGCCTCCTGAAAAGACAATAAATGCTTTGGCACACTGTTATAGACGGACCAGAATTACATATTATATCATTTCAGAGATCTATTAAAAAACTTTCGCGTTACCTTTAAAACAGAAATGGTCATGTCGTAGTTGTTTATGAGAAACACAGTTTGCAGCTTCAGTTTGGTGAATGCTCTAGCTAATTTCGAGAGCAAATCATCAGCAGCCATCCGCAGTCGTTCCAAATTGAGGTCAAGCTAAAGAAGAAACAGAGCATATATGGAAGATAGGTTACCTTCATGAACACAGATAAAGCATGGGATAAACAAATATCACATATTCTTTTAGAAAGTAAAGATTCCAAATTTTTTGAGACGATTCTGTTTTTATGCATACCTGACCATCTCCATACTGATGATTAAGTTGGATGAGGGATGCAGTGAATTCAGCATATCGCCTCATTACATAGTGAGGATGAACATCATCTTCCCATAATGATCTAACATTAGCATTACGCAGACTGCTGAGGTGCATATCAAATACCATCTTGAACCGAGGCCACAAAGAGATATTGACCTGATTGCCCGGTAACTAGGTTAATACGTTGGCAGTGGGGAGAAATAGAAATAAGCCATAAAAGTTTTATAACGCGACATTTTTTGTAATGAAAACAATAAATTATAGGTTAGGGAACAGACATTGATGAGAAAGCAGAGTTAAACCAACTGAACAAGTCCATAATATGTCTATAGATATGGCAACTTGCACATCTGAACGTTCATGTATAGAAGGTTATTTATCAGGTACTCATCATGCAGTTCTGCCTCATCTATTTTCTACATTTCTTGCTTCTTCTTTTGTATATGTTGAAAATGGAGAAAAACCCTCGTCACGAAGGATGGAGGGGAGAAGGGTGGAAACCGCCTCAAAATTCATTCAACTCTAACCCCCATTTTATAGAGAGTAACAATACACAACTTTTGCCAAAACACCCTCAACTAATTAACTATTTCTCTACGACCTAAAACTTCCAACAGTATACCATGTAAACCATCGAGTTTAACTTTACAGCTTACTCGTAATTTCTTTTCAACCTTTTGGTGTCCTTTAGCTTTAGAAATTCATGTTCCTGGTATCTAAGACTAGTATAAGGGATTGATAAAAATGAGAAAGCGAAAGGAACTAAATGATCATTTCAATGAGTAAATAATCATACAGACGTAAGCGAATTCATTGGATTAACGCTTTCAATCATCAATTGTACAAGAATAAGAGTCGAGGAGAGTTGTCCAACTAAGCCAATTCAGTGTAAAGCAGAAAAGTTCAACTAGTGAAGTAAACTTCATAAACAAGCAAACGAGATCTCTGTCAAGTTGAAATGATAACTAGACATTATTTGTGAAAAGTACATTTTGAAGGATTGGAAATTTATAAGGAAAACAACTAAAGTTACAAATGTTAAAAAAAAAAAATTGGCATGTTAGGAGTAGTTTTTTTCGGGGAATAAAATGTGAGGGCATGAGGACAATGCTACTCGTCTTGACAAAACACCATTTATTCAGTGCTAATTTTATTTTGGCTGCCAGGATGGCTTTTTTACTTTCTCGCTCATGACAGGAATGCTTCAACCCAAATAAAATGCCCTCGGCCATGTCATTTTCCAAACATTAACAGGATGAAGGATAAATGACTATACATATGACATATCTATAACGGAGAGAACAAATGAACTTTTCTGGAAAATAAATAGAAATTGAAAAAATCGAAGTTCCAAGACAGAATCAATAATAGCAACCGAGTCCCATTGTAAAACTGACTAAAAATAGCTTGCATACCTTGTCCAAGTATGAATCCAAACATGGAATCCGCCGACGAGACATGATTAGCTGTATAAAAAAAAGACATTAAATTTCATTATATCAAACTGATACCTCAAAAAAGGCAAGTGCACATTGGATTGAAATTGATGAACTGATTTCTGCTTTTTTTTAAAAAATGGGATGTGCTAAAAAATTGTGCTTGGATGTTCACGAAAATCTACAACAGATATAGAGGATCACACAATTCTTCGTTATGGAATATCAGGTGGAGTCTGTGCACACTTCCCAATGGGCCTCAGTCACCTACAAAAACCAACGGTCCTCCCCAAAAAGGCAAACGCACCATGGCCTCTTGAAGGAGCACCAAGTGAGACCTAACCCACTTGTCCCTCGCTAAGGGGAAAATGGAATAATCATGCCAGCAAATTTTAACATTGAAACATTCATCTTGGAAAGGCTCCCAGAATCTCAATCTAAGGCAGTGAAATGGGTTACCTGATATGACTAAGATGGATGCATCAATTAATGCTGCATTGTACAGAGAATTTGCCATCATGATAAAGCAGATGATTACCTGGTGCTGATGTATAATAAGTATCATAAGCATTAAGCCATTTCCATCAAAGCTGTTCGCCAGAACTGTGTTTGTGTGTTCATCGATAACTCCAAAAGGTCCTGAATAGAAGAAGAGACGAGCTTTAGATGTTTATAATAAATGGTGATTCTGCTAGTTGATTTCAACAGTTTAGCCAGTTTATTCCACATTCGATATCTAAGATAACGCTACATAGTAATCATTAAAGAACGTGCCCAAAAAAGTTAGATAAAGCCCAATACTATGCAAAAGCGCTTGCATTTGAATTACGGGCCTAATTTATTTTAGAGTGTCTTATAGTACTCACATATTTCGTTAAGATTGAAAAAGTTATCATTTTTTCAAGCTCTTGTACATTTAATCATAGCTCAGGATAAGACCAGCAGGGTGTGGTCTGTTTGAATTTGCCAAAAATAATGACTGGTTTCGAGAGAACAATATTACTGGGAGATATATGTCAACAGATGACAGAAGCAAAAGTTGTTGGAACAAGGAAAAGCAAGAAGAATGAAAAAGCAAACAATGTGAAAGTTTTTTAGGAAGAATACTCATAAAGTACCTGACTGAGAACACATCCCTAATGTAATTTTTTGTTCGAATGAATTGTGCTAAGCAAGAACCAATGGAGACTCGTATTGCCCATAACCTTAACCAGAATAAGTTAAAGAGAATATCACAGTTATGTAACTTCATCTCAATGATTCGAACAGAAGTATAACATCACCATCAACAGATTACATGTTCAGTTGGCATTAACTACAGGCTTGACTACATCAGTATATTTTTGAGGAAATTTGAGCAAAATGAATGTTAGTTAGGAGTATGTCATATTAATGACAGGGAAACCTTTTCCAAACGCTAATCTAGCAAAAATGAGTTACCAAAAAACATTTTTTCGTTTTTAATTAAAAAACTATTAGAGATCTAAACAGGGAAAAAACATCTCGAGTATAGTTAAATTGTTTAAACTGCCACATCAGCAGACTTTCTGATGTGTCCTGGCCGTCATAAAGAGCATTGTTAGTAAGGACACCCTATTTAACTAAATACCTCCACGAAAGTCATCCAAACTAGGAAAGACTTAGTTGAAGAAAAATGATGAGTATCGAGGGTGACATAATTGAATAAGAGTCACTCGTGGTATGGTTGACTCTGTGACACTAATAAGAGTTAATGCTGAAGGATCTACAAATGAGGAAAAGTCACCTCCCTAAAGGTAAATTTTTTTCAATAAATAATTTCCTTTCGACAGGCCCAATCTTCCTCGTGTCACCCTTGAGAAGGGCAAGTTTCACAAAAGAAAGTCAAACTTCTGCAGCAACTTTTGCAGTAATGAACTCAATAAAGGAGCAGGGTCTTTTCACAAGGACGGACTTTCACAAAAAAGTTTGAGGGAAAAAAGCAGGAGAGGGACAAGGGATGTGAAGAGAAATAGAGGATTTAATGCATATGTGTGTCTATTTCTACTAATTTAAAAAAAAAAATCTTTCTCAAAAAAAGCTCTCTCCCATGCCTCCAAAAGCTTTTTAAACGACTAATTTCTGAAGAAGTCATTCCTGTCGATAGGAACTTTGTCATAAGAAATCCACCTTTTGTAAGGGCAACTTTCTCCCAAGTATAAACCCTCTGACAGAGATGGAAGTACTGCAAAAGTCAACCTCCCAGTGATGGGTTTTTACTCGAAATAAGTTGGCCCAGATACATGCACATTTTCTTCAATCACCCTACTAAGTACGACTTTCTAGAAAATTTTCTTCAGCTAAGTCATGTCAACAAAAAGGGTCAGATGGTGGCCACCTCATTCCATGAAGGTGAACAAGATTTTCCAATCCCGTCTTAAGATTTATAATGAAATCTTTCAAACACAATCTGTTAAGAAAGAGAGGACATTTGTTTTCTTACTTCCAACTTCAATAACTTAGTTTTTTCTTAGCCCCTATTTAGAAAAGCTGTATTTTTGCTATGAAATTCTTTGGAGTTTGCTCTACTTAAAAATGCATTGGATGGAACCAATATACATATCTTTTCGTCTGGTCATCTCCCTCTTGCGTAGACGGATTTGTCTGGGAGCATAGTATGGGAGCATTTGTGTAGACGGATTATAGGATACTTGTACTAGAAATTTAGAGGGGAGAAAGAAACGGAGTTGGAGACATTCGGACATCAAGATTAAGAGGTCCAGTAAGTTTTCCTCTATCTCTTTGTTAACTGTGTGCTTTTGGCATTAGCATCCAAAATGGACTGGATACCCATACCCTCCTTTCCTATGCTGCTTCTGCAATGTTTGCCATGTAACGGCACATTCACAGGTGCAATGTTTCCCTTGTAGACAAGGCTGATGGGAAACTTACATCTTAAGAAAATTCAGATCCTCCTCAGAGATAACAGAAGATTCTTAGAGCGTAAAGGAGGTATGCTTGTCACAGCATACTTTAATACTCTGCACAGCAAGGAGGAATATGATTGTTATTCCATAAAGGAACAGAACTACCTGAGGATTAGAAGAGATTTCGAAATGAGCAGAGGAATAGTATATTTTTATTCTTTACACAAAGGGACACAGAGTATGAAGCATTGAGTCAGATTCTCAATCCAAATTTCACACCAACGTTGGAGCATGTGTATTTTAGGCCCCTAAGTAAGGAAAACGAAAAGTCCTGAATGAAGGAATAAAGGTGAAAGCATCACTTCCGAAAATGAATGTTCAATGGTCATTAGAAATACTTCAGAGGGAAAAGAAGGGATCAGTTTCTCCCTTGTGCGATAAGAGTTCACTGGCTGCAAGCTGGATCAGTTTCTCCCTTGTGTGACAGTATTTTTGAGATGAACCCAAAATCCCATGCCATTTACAAAGAGGGAATTGGGCAGGCCCATTGGGTTGATTCCTAAATGGATCAGCAGAAAGAGAGTCTGAAAAGGCACCATCTCCCTCAGCGTGATACCACACTTGCAAGTCAAAAGGCAGCCCATCCTCTCTCTCATACAAGAACATTAACGGACCAGGGTTGGCTCCACAATCCCAGTGCTTTTACAAAGAGGAATTGGCCTGTTCTAGCAGCCTGATTCATAAGCAGGCAGTTTGAAAGAGCCAAAAAGTAAGAAAGACTGCTAGCTCCCATTATGTGACGGCATGATCTCCTTTCACTTGATGACTTAGTCTCTCCCTCTTCTGATGGGCCTCCCAACTTCCATGTATTAGGCCACTTATCAATTATTGCTCTCATTGGATAGGCAGGTTAGGCTGAATCTAAGGCCACATCAAAGCCACATGTTTTACATGCTAGGTCAATTATAAAGGCCAAGTATTGAGCAATGCTGAATTATTATAGCTGAATATCTCACGAAAAGAAATTGAATGGAAGTTGAAGTTGCCTATAATGATTGATTATGACAACATGGCAGTCAACAAGATAGCTGATAACGTAGTCATGATAGATTAAAACACAACGATTGATCGTCAGTTCCTTTGACAAAAGCCTGAATGCACAGATATACCACAGCATTTCATTAGACTTCAATTTCAGACTAAGCTTCAGAATACATTAGAAAATAATCAGCCATGGTGTCTTTCAGTGTGAGACAAGTTATCTAAAAAAGGAGTGATTTTTCTGAAGGAATGCATGTATATAGTTTAATGTATAGAATGAGATACGAAACAGGTTCATCTTATGGAATTAATCGAAGAGATCAAAATACCTGAAAAAATTTCATAGAATACAGATTCTTCACCAAAGAAATCATCACAGAAGAGGTACCTAATAAAAATATACATTATAAATAAGTTAAACTGTTTTTAGATTTCATATACCATTTAAAATACAACACAAATATCATACTCTGAAGTAGCGGTATCCATTAGAAGTTTGTGCAAGCTCCTAAAGAGAACTTCGTAGGGGTATTTAAGAGAGTTCGCTTCTGCTATATGTGGAATCAATGCAGGCTGTTCAATTTCCTGAAAAAGATATAAGAAATTAAATTATGATCGAATCTAATATGAGAAAGATATAATCCTATTTAAATTTAAGAAATAACTCCCGAATTTAAAATTCAGAGAAAAGGCAGAAAACATAAGAGTACCACTGAAACCTAGAGAATCAATACAACATGTAATCTGAGGTGCTCCAATATTGAATCTTTTTACAAGTTAACAGACACTGGAAGAAAAATATTAGATCAAAAAGATTGTGACAAAATCACTTATTATCCCAAGAAAACATCATGAGGGGGAAAGGGGGGGGGGGAGGGGCTGTTTCGATAAAATCCTCTAAGAACAGTTTTCACACAACATTGTATTAAATTATACATATACCAGAAATAACTGTATCTTTGGGCATACCATGATCTATTTCTCAAAAGAGGTAAAGAATAAATATACGTAATCATAAAATTATAAGAATCATAATCAGGAAAAACTTATGGAGTTGAAATCATAGAATACATGTTATTCAGGAAAAATGATGATGGTAGCCGAATATAAAATCAACATATATATATATATATGAATTGTCCCGGTTGCACTACTTTCATTCCCTAACAAAGAGCAGTGGATAAAATACTAGGTATATGGAGATACATAAAACTTCATACCATCGAGATTGCTGCAAGTCATGAAAATTTGCCAATACATACATGATCAACAGAAAACATAGATTACTTGATATTTAGAAAAAAAATAATCAAGACAACAAACCCAACCATGACTCGCCCACTCGTAACCAATCCGGAACTCCATTCAAATTTGGAAAGGAAAAATGAGAAAAAATAGATGGTTTAACATTTGAAGTACTTGACATGATGTGCCTCACTAGCAAAAAAGTTTGAAGAACTTGAAATAATACAGAAGTGACTCATCTACACAACATTCATCAACTGTTTACAAAAAATGTGAAAAATGTCTTGTGCAATCCATGCACAACAAGACATGTTTATAATAGGAATGAAGTGGGAAATATTTACATCAGAGCTATTTCATTTCTTGTCCTCTAAAAAAAAAATATCAGGCAACGTATCTGGAAACTTGAAAGTTCATTTAGAAAAAAATTATAAATAATTACTGATAGGCTTTGAGGATTTTAATGGATTGGTATATTCACCAGGGCAAGAAAAAAACGACTGCAAGGCCATCAGAAAAATGGGTCTCCATCTAGAAATTTAAACAAAACGTCAATCAATGCCCAGATAGGTACCAGAAAATTGCCAAGTCTGTGAAGCCGTCCTATGCAAATTCACCAATTAAATGAGCCTATCAATCAGATCAGTCCAAATATTTTGGATAATCCCTAAATTACGTCGATAAGAGCTAAGAAAAAATAAAATCCCCGATAAACCAAGATCTATGACAACCGAAAACAGCTTCAGACCCTTTTTATGTTTTCTCCGGAAAGAATTAGTAAAACAGCAACTTGGCAAAGCTTTGTGCTGTAATAAACGGCATTTTTAGCAAAACGAGGAGAAGATGTAGGACACTGCATTTTCTAATTGAGCATAGCCGCAAGTAAACAGTAAATCAGATTACATAAGTGCTCTATGAAAGTTAGAATGGATAAGTAGTCAAAACCTTCAAAATATTAAGCCGCTCCCCTAAAGCAAAAACAGAAGACCGGTTTTTCAATGGCTCCTTTGCTCTTGAGAAAACAAAAACAGTACTGCGGGCTTCAACTCCTATAAGATCATTGGATGTTGCTATATCCAGTTGGAGTTTCTCCAGTGCCAGTATATATGCCCGAAAATGCGCACTCAGAACCTGCAGAAGAGATTTTTAAGGCAAATAACGAATTCTAAGAAGGCACTCTCATATCCCATAAATGAATATTTATATGCATCGAAGATGTAATTAATAAATATTTTAAACCAAATGGTACAAGCAAAAATTATGAATACATTTTTTCCTCATTCTGCAAGAGCCTATGTACTGAACAATTTTAAGGTCGTAGTTACATCATATTTAATAAAATTAAAAATAAATCAAGAAATTTACATGAATGTAAACAATTATGTCCCAAATAAGCCCCAATAAATGAGCTATAGTCTACACCATGCCAATGTTGACTAAGCTATAAACACAAGGTTTCAAAATATTAAAACCAAGCAACTGGTAAGAGTGAATTATTTATTCTATTAATGACAAGTTCTTGCCAGTCGGACAACCTGGTCAAACAGTAGTTCAAATGGTAAAAATAAATATGTTGAAATCGCATCTACGATAAATGAATAACACCATTTCGTTTAAGAAATAGTGCAAGTTTAATCTTTGCATATGCTATTATCATCTTGATATTTTTTAAAGGGAAATTCCCTGCCTTTACGCCAGGAATTCAAGCCCTATATGCCTAGGTTCATACCTTGTCGACCACTTTTAATGCAATAAGATTAACCATGTTTATTGAAGCGTTAATGCGTATATCTAAACTGTTGGCTTAGTTTAGGCATGGCAAACATCGCTTCCTGAAAATGCATAACATAAAAATACATTTAACAAAAAAAAAAAAAATTAGTTCCCTTTACTTGACCAGACAGCCTCACGCCAGTTATATCAAGTATATCAATTGATCATGCATCCAAAACTATGTGCAACCGAGCTGCAGAGATCATGCATCCAAATCGGCCAAGATTCTAGTTATTGATTTATTGATTTATGAATATCCCATTTATAAGCTCTTCACTTCACTCTGATCACGTAATACCTCCAGACAGTGATGTGGAATATACATATGAAAGTAACTGAATGCTACCATCTTTTATTAGTCTTTATCATGATCAAACTTATTCAAGATATTTAGAATCATCAAATAATTCATTAACACTTCAATTTTGCATGCAAGTCAACGAGACTAGATCACCTTGTTCATTGTGTCAATATATGCCGAACGGACTTCATTATATATCTCCTTCCCATGTTCTTTTAGGAATAGGACAACATATCTGCAATTCCGAGTACATAATGGTCAACATATTGGATTAAAAATTACATTTGCTACCAAATGGCAGAGATCATGAATCGTAAAGAGAGAAACCTAGAAATAGAACTAGATAGACTCAATGGAGAGAGGCTGGTAAGGACACAGCATGATTGTTAGATTTGGTCAACATAAGGTTCTGTTCAATCCACTCACCATAGCTGCCATTCCTTGCTCACTTCTCACGTTATAGACTAACTATTGTAGCCCACTATTATTTTATCCGATTAGCGCATGTAATAATGAATTTTATCCCCTTTTCAGTTCTTAACTTCAGAGAAATTCATTAAAGCTGCCTCTGTACTGTCACCCAATATCAGCAAAACAGCAATTTCTATAATTTCACAGCAGTAAATGTTCAGCTGCTAAGTAATCAGAAACATGGATTTTGGCATTGGCATCTATACTTTGCAATAAAGAGATCCAAAAAAAGGAGGTTGGAACCTAATCAAATCAACTGGTTCAAAAAAAAAAATGAATCCCTTTTAAAATCGAAACAGAAAGATGGAGCATATATCTACATTGATATCACAAATCATGAACTCCAAATTTTTCTGTTGCAATAATTATTAGATGCCCATCAATTCCACAATCTCAATTGCAAAAATTTTACTGACGCATCAGAAATTTACTCCACAAAAACATGTTAGTAACCTACATAACTAGCACACAACTCTTAGAGATTACCCATTGGTCGCATAATAACAGATGAACAGGGGAAATTTGAAGGATTTACCCACTTTTTTAATTACTAGGAGACAAACTTGAAAGGAAGTATAAAACCTTCTTGAGATACTGAAAAATTGCTCTTCTTGGCTAGTAAACAACATGGAACTGACTCCATTCACTTTGTTGTACTGCATAAATGAATAATGATCCCAAACTTTCATCAACAGAATAGGGATAATTATCTTACTTCCCTTAATTTCGCAACTTTACATTAATCTACGACCTTCAAATTTAGCATAACTGCTACTCTTTTAAATTGAGAATAGTAGAATCCGCCACTAAAATAATGAGTCCCCTATTTCCTCGTCATTTATTTTCATTCCAACTGTCATTTCAATATTCTAGGATTAATTTTGACGACTAATATTGCAGATAAATTAATTGACATCTTGAGATATTATCACACAATAGAATACATCTACCTGTGGTAGAAAATCATTCTCTGATTAGAACAAAATATGATAACTGATGTTCTGGATAAATTAGGGCATATCCACTGGCAGCGGAATCTGACACAAAATATCCTTAAGTACACAGGTTAAAGCATAGATGGGGAGTGGTAAGCTTTTACCCAATGAGAATAACTTTTATCAAGTCTTCCAGGAAAACTAATTCCAGTCCTCTGTTAAAAACTGGTAAAAAGGAATACAGTTATCTAAAACAACTTCCCTTTTGCTCCAAAGTGCCAAATAGACTGGAGACTGAGTCAGACGTAAAACTATACGCATTGATTCAAATTGTGTTGGAATTCAGAATAAATACAGTAGCAGGGATAACTTACTTATACTTGAGAAGAACGCTTTGCTGAAGGATCTGAATATTAGTTTTTGGCTTCCTCAAAGCATAAAGCTTCTGAACTATGAACTCGAAGACCTAAGCAAAAGTAGAAAATTTTAAAATGACTTCATGAAAGAATTTACATTAGTCCAAGTGCCAAAAAGCATGCAATAAAAATGAAACTTGATTATGTATACATACCGTCCTACCTGATTACGTTGGGACATTCTACAAGATGTGGTCACACATACTTGTGATTTAACAAAAATTCAAAAGGTAAAGAATACTTACACTATCCCAAGAGACTATCTCCTCTCAATTCATAGTTATCTTACGTCATGCCTAAAGCAGTCAACTCACATAAAAACTTTATAAACATTCTCATGATGAGCCCAAACTCCTCTCAATCTCTTCAAATTGACAGCGAACAATCTCAACACCTCTGTCCAACCTGGCCAGAATGGAATGAGAAGTTGCTTCAGTCCAATACATCTTTCTCTAACTAATAGTCATTGCTTTCACCATCAACCTTTGATGCCATTTTTAGCTTCTTGTTCATATCGTATCCTCTTTTCAATGGTAACTGTCCATAGATATCTGCAGATCCAATTTCCTAAAGCCAGAAACTTAATCTCCATAAATTTCAAGTTTTTTTCAGATGTATATTAGCTTGGCTTCTGTCTGTAATATGTTTCCTAATTGGTAGGATTTATGGAAAGTTAATTTCCTAAAAGAATTGTTTGCCCACGGTAACTTTGATCTACATTTGATAATATATTTGGCAACCTACATCCAAGTATATACGTACGAACTCCAAATACTCTGCCGAAATCATATCCACATTACACAAAGATTCAATACCTAGCGACAGCAAGACACAAACCTCAAGTGGCAATGACAAGTTTCAAGGTGTTGCCTATAGAAAGAGTTCAGGCAGTAGATTCCTCCCTAACTCACTTCAGTCGGTTTTACAACAATGGCAAATGATTTTCATGATAACACTAAGGCTATGGAAGCAGGAGTAGCCACCAAAGGATGAATTGCAACAACATTTTGAAGTGGCCTATCTCTAATCAAAAAAAGCAGATATTGCTAAATAATAATAATAATAATAATAATAATAATAGACGAGTCAGTACAAGGAATAAAAGTCATTATTAGCATTCATCAATTAGATAGAACATGGTTATGATTTTTTTCATCAGCTTTAGTCTGAGTCTACCAATTCTCTAGAAGTTGAAATCATGATGAATTCTCATTTCACTTTGATAGCCAACAGATCTAGAACAGATTTAACCAATATTAGGCATTGGACATTAGATCGTAGTTTTATTCCTATTATTACGAGTATGAAGATTATAAAAACTGTATGTCTGAAATGTTACTTCGTTCGTAGATACTGTTCCGGTGCACATGATTTTGAAAACGAATTTGACTCTTTTTCTATCTTCTCTACATGTTTCCTACATTCAATGACTTCCCCATTTTCCAAAATTACTGGGACTCTTTTATGCAGCCAAATCACCATTTTGATACACATCCTGCAATCCAGGCCCACACCCGAGTTTAGATATAACTTAAACTCGTGTAATCTAAAAACTCTATTGATAAATTTTCCATCGTTACAAAATAAGAAAACACTTGAATAAATTGTGGATTACGATAAAATATTTTAAATAAAAAAGTACATCAGTGGCATGATTCAAGTCAGAGTCCTATAATATCTTACAATTAATCCCATTGAATTTTTAGTTATTTTTATCATTATGATAAAAGGGTTCGTCGTTCCAATCAGACAATGTTCGGAAATCCAATTGTTCTCAGAAAAGCCCCCCTTCCTAATGTAAAGCTTGATATCAGCTGTTAGAACACCTTATCACAATCATAGAAGAATCAAGAAACATGAAAATCAAGAAAAATGTGAATGAGCATAAATTCTTCAATTACCTTTGCGACAGCCTTTTGTCGAAGTCTTTCCAGCTCTGGTTGCACATCTTTAAGAGCCATGGATGAATTGACCATAGGGTCGACTTCAATAAACTTAATCTTCCTGCTTAGGATCTCGAGCATTCTCATATATTCATCATTCACCTGTAGAGGACAGCGAAAAATCATTATACTTGTACATGCAGTGTAGGTTTCTTATAGTCCTTTCTGGTCAACAATGTCAACATCGTAGACGGTGCCTTGAAATCTAAAACAGGGGAAAACAACATGATACAGTTATGAACTGAGATTGTTTCTCCGATCAACTCCAAGAAGGTCAAAAATATCATCACACGAAAGTCATAAAAAATATCATCATACAAATAAATGGAAGTTGTGATGGCATGATAAGACAAATAATGTAACATAAGGCCCCAAACTTTAGGATTTACTTTTGAACCATACTAATAGGACTGCGAGACAAGATGGTCACAGGAATTTCTGAATTTGAAACATTCACTAAATTGAAAGGTTCCCAGGAACACTAGGAGTAATCTAGACAGGAAGCATTGATTGCAAAAGTTTGCATAGCCAGGAATCCAGCAGTTTAGAGACAAAAGCCTTACGATGCCTTGCCAGGGATTAGGGAGGCAATAAAGAGAGATGAAATTTTTCATGCCACAGTGAGGTAGCGCCCATGGTAGTGGAGACCAACAATGATCAGGAGTGGCTGACCTGTCCACAATCACAGATTTCAGGTTGATTCAGCACACAATCGGCCACTCTGACCTGATTGATAGCTTTCTCGACATTGAGGGATGATGGGACAGCCCACAAGAGAGCGTGAATTCTGACTGTCAAGCAAAGGGCACATATTGATTTTATACAAATTTGGAACTGAATCTCGAAAAACGTCACATTGAAGGTTTCTAATCAAATCACATCCTATCCCAACAATAGGCTTGAATTATCAACAATTTATATGCAAAATCAAAGAAAACGTGCATATTCCCTCTCAGCCCCCAACAAAAAGAGGGCAGAAAAGCCTCTCACAAATGAAGCACATAGCCCATAGAACACTAGTGCTCCAACCGACACCTGTAAAAACCTTCTCTAGTATTTGTATACTTCCTTCTAAAATAACATGACGAAAAATCTGTGATGCAGCATTTAAGACATTATAAGAAACCAATATCTATTATAATCAGAAAAAAAATACTACCTGATACGAGTTGAAAGCATATTTACATGGAACATAGACCTATCCATTTATTATCCTCTCACGACCTTAAAAACTGGACAGTTTACCAAGAAATTATCAACCAACCTCTCATGCATTATATAGACAAAATAGAGTCCTAATTTGAGGTAAAAATATGAAAATCATTCAAATGGCTGCTGAAAATTATGAACATCAAATAGCACTGACACGTTAACAATCCTGCTCACACTTCTATCCATGAAATTTAATTTTCTCTGCAGTTATGTATACTACACGCTCAATGATGCATTTGCTATCTTTTACTATTTTTTCGTAATTCGTACCATCTTCTAGACAATATCCGCATAGGTCACCCTTTTCTGGATCACAGGTTCTTTTAAGCCCCAACACTTCATAATTCATCAATTTAGTCCCGCTATGAAGCATTGGTATCCAGGTCAAATTAAACAAAAATGATCTTTGGAAAAGTTAATGATAGGTCAGACCCGCAAATACACACACATAAATGTTAAAACGATTCTTATCACAAAAGAAATTTATCAAAGCATACAATGAGAAATCTGGGTCCCAAATCTCCTATAAGATAAACTATGTTAGGGCCATTATATTCTTTCGAAAAGTAGACAGGAGGATTATCCATCATAACGGTTATTATTACAATAAATGAGAGCTCAGGAATGCATAACTGATGTAAATCTTACAGATCTAAGGATGAGATGTACACAACTATAAAAAAATCACAACCGCTGGACAGAATCCTCCACATATGTCTCGCAAAAAGATTACCTCGCCGTCAACTATGATATCAACCATCCTCGGGGGGACAATAATATCTTCTACAAATTTTGCAAGTTTCAACTCTGCTACCTGAAAGAAATAAAATGTTAAACAATATGAAGTGCTCGAGATAAAAGAAAGTGAAATGGCAGTATCCATCCTATGAGGGCAATCCTGCTCAACAAGATAGAAATCTAGTGAGCACCAGGTCGAGAACAGCCAGAGTGAGCGAAGGCACTGGTCAATATCCTTCCTTCAAAAGAAAGGTCATTGCCACATCTGTGCACATATGACTCCGTAATGGCACCACATTGGTCAGTTAGAGCCTACCATGTCCAACATCTCAATGACCTAGGCTAACATATCCCAATTTTAAGATCATTTTTGTTTGACCAGTTCAGTTTAATTTTTAACTGTTATAAGCCTACCGTAGCCTATGCAGCAACAAGATAGCAAATTCATTTCTATAGCTTCCATCATCCCATCGTGGAAGTATGCTAGTCTCCATGATGGGATGCTTGCCCAACTCACGTGGGTAGCAGAGTCAGCAAAGTTAGTCATATCTGCATGGATCCTCATACTCACCAACAGTCATTGCCATGACTACCACTTGAGTGCCCTAGTGGCATTCCTGTTGCCAGACCTAATCCGCTATCCTCGAATCACCTTTTCACATTAGAGTTTTTGTACATGATTTATGACAAAACAGCTACCCATGGCCCGAAGGTACAAAAGATTGTTGGCCTTGCCTAAAGCTATCAGAACAGCTTTCCCTTGACGGATTTTCAACGGCCATGCCTCACCCTTCGTCATCACCCCATATTAAAAAAGAAAAAAATTGGAACACGTAGTAGCAACACCTCTATTGGATTTTAATGAGCAAAATGTTTAGCTGACTGAAAGAGTGATTCAGAAACAGATAGTATCCACCACGCAAGCACCATTCTTGGAAGTAATAGCAGAGAATACAGCCAATCAAATCAATGAAATCGATTGAAATTCAACTTTGGAAAACGAAAAGGAAACTGGCCACATCGCAGCAAAAGACTATCTAGCTATTGACTTCGTATGTTGCATGGACAATCTCAATGGTCCCACTTCCACTTAGCGTCTATGGAAAACCATGTTCCTTCTGGCCCTACCATCCACTTTCAGGATGATATGACGTCCCCTCCAGGAAAACTTAGAGCCACAGGCAGAACTTCTTACATGCATGCCATGAATTCGACAAAGCATATCCCACTATCTTCAGCAGAAGCAAATAAGACAGCTTATCCACCCTACATTCTTAAACCCAGGGCATCCTTCCCTTATGTTATTCAGCCTATTTCATCCTCGCCAAATCAATACCACAGGAAAGCCAGCATGGAATCGTTCCAGTCATGCACTTGTTCTGACACCGTAGACCTTCTCTTCTACAATTTAGACTTCACAATTCTGAGTCAATCATACACTGAAAAAGTAACGCATTTTTAGGGTAAAAGTAGTCAGATTTTGGCATATAAACGATAATTTCCAATGAGCGTAGGATAGCATACTATAGCTAAGATTGGCAAAGCATAAAATGATGCTAACCAGAATGGTAGCCAGCAATTGAACAGATATGACATGGGAAACATCTTCTAAATGGCAAAAATCATACCTTTCTATTTTTCAGTTTCAGCCCCATGTCCATAGATTTCTCCTGAAGACTTTTTATTTCTGAACTTATGGAACCAATCTCTGCCTATCACAACATAACTGAAATATTAATAACAGTACAGAAGATATTCCAATTGGATTTCAAATAATTTTTTACTAAAGTACAACATTTTCCTCAGAGAGAAACAATAAAGGTACCCTTGATGGAAACAAAAGCAATCTAGAGCAACAATTAAACAACTGGATAAACATAATCAAAAAGAAATGATGAGAAAGACGTTAAGAAATGAGGATTGATATCTTTTATTGCAAAATTTATAGAGTATTACGGTCTCTGACTGAAAACAAAATGCCAATGAACTAGGCCCATGTGCATAAACACCGGATTTTATTTCTTCTTCCTTTGTGGGACTATTTGAATCGTGTATTCATTTTAAGACAATATCGTTTCAAATGCAAAAAGCTACATGAGAGTAAGTTGCTGGGGCTTATTTCGCCTTTTCTGAAGACTTCAACTTCACACTCTTACAGAAAATTCAAAGACAAAATATCTAAACTAGACCTACTATACCTGAAATCCACTAAGCAGTGTTTCCATCTGTGATAAAATAATATCACAATCACGAATTTGATCATGTAGTAAAACCAAGTTATCACTCTCCTTAATGTAATCCTGCATGAAATGAGAAGAACAGAACATATATCAGTGGCAGTGGGGCAAGCCACCCGAACATGGTAGTAAACACATACATTAAGGAGCACAAGTACATGTGAATTAGCATTAATTTTCAAGAGCTTTCTCAAAATTCCAATAAAACCTCTATCCGAAATCAGTATACCCATTGTAACCACCAACATGATCAACTGGACCAGATCATACAGCCTTGTGAGACACATGATACAGATCCACGAGGATGCTGCATCTATTAATAACAGAAAAGTTTATACCTTAAGAATTGCATTCAGTACGACAGCTTTTATTAAATAAAAAAATTGATAATTGAAATAGTGTATCCTTAGCAACCCAAAGGCGCTACTGTCTGACAGGTAAAACAGAGAAACAAGACAACACATGATATCTTTTCTCCAAACATGAACATAACCTCAAACTCCAGGCCAAATATAAGTTAGTTCCGCAAACAAACAGCCTATGGAGCATCTCTGCATAAGATGTGTACTATAAACGCCATATCAGATTAGTAGATATTGTATTTCCCAAATTCCGCCCTATACACCAAATGCTGTCAACTAAAAGACAAGATAGAACCCAGCGTTGAAAATCCTTTTCTCTTCTTTCAAATGCAATATTCATAAAACAACCATAATTATTTTGATTTTTTTCCTAGTATTGGGCATCTGGTATTTAATATTTATACTAATCAAGATTTGCTAGATCTTTTGAACTAATAAGACAGTGTTCTTCCAGCAATAATTGGGTAATGGAACACAAAAAATGTATATCGGCGTTGAATTACACATCATATTATCAAATACAGAGGAGATGGAACCCACTACTCAAAATCCTGACCTATCTTTATTCAATACCTTCCCAGTCCAAACAGTTTGATCAGAACTACTCACTTTCTTTTGTTTACTTCCCTCCACTTGGAAAGCAGTGTTTAACATTTCAATCAAACAAAAAAACTCAATGTTCAGTAAATTCGTAGATTTTGCTTCTAGCGATGCTTAGCTATTGGACACTTAAGAAATGTCCATGGATTAATTTCCAAGAAAAAATTGTAGCCCAATATTTCCATTTGTCTTCCACTTAAGTTATACAATCAACACAGTTAGAGAAAACATTAACAGAACAAGGAGCACGACAAAACCATATGTTCTTGGGGACATAATTTTGTCCTATACTCTGCTATTTCAGACAAAACCAGAAAAGTTTTGTTCACTTATGACTGTTTATTCTACTTACCAGAGGAATAATGCCAGTCAATCCAAAAGACTAAATAAATGAAATTGAAGCCGTTTCGTCAACATTCATACGATAACGGATGTTCTCATTCAATCCAATAAGCCAAAGAAAATTGTAGCAGGCAACTCCCACATGTATTGAAGATTTTTGCGAAAGAAAGTTGATGATAGATAGGAGTTCAACAATGGAGGGTTTCTAATTTAGCAGCACCACGAGAAAGGTGACGAACTAAAACTCAAAGAGAAAACAAGCCGTGCCTTGAATCCATAGGAAATGTGACATTAAATATGGTTCCTCGCAGACCTCGCGTGATGGCAATCAGGCAGGCAATAGAAAAATAGATAAGAGAAGACAAGAGAAACATGACTTGATACAAAAGATGTATGTTAAAACCTAACGCTTGAAAAAAGCTACGAGAGAAGAATGATACCTCACAATAGATATCGAGATCCAAATTACAGCAAGACTCCTCCACAAGGACTAACACAAGTGTTCCTACTACTAACAACTACTTTCCCCTCTTCACCCAAGCATTAACTCAAGACTTGGTCAACGGTTGTTACCTAATGTGAATATCTCCCCCGCCCCAAAAAAAAAAAAATGCTGAAAGACATGGAAGCGTGGAACATGGGTCTAGGAATCTTCACGGCTCACACTAGTTTTGTTGAGGCCTTTCCACCTCTTGCTGGTGAGGCTTGAACCCGAAGAATATTAAATTAAACGGTGGTTCAGTTCTTGGGTGAAGAGGCTTGAACCCGAAGAGTTTTCTCCAGAATGTATTTCCAACTCAGCAGTAGGAGATTGTAAAGAAGCTAGCTAGGGAAGAGACACATTCTTCAGATAAAATTAAAGGCAGTTAAGAATATCTGTAGATCCGGGGACCAAGCACTGGTTGCAGAGGAAGAAAGTTCATTTCAAGTTTAGTTGATGGCGAAACAAGAGACTTTCTGTTTGATACAGGGGTAGTTGAAGCAGATTAATTGAGAATGTGAAGGAAAATATGTGCTGAACTAAGTGCCTTGCGTAAAGGCTTTACTAACATTCTGTGACAATATAATAAACGCAGTGAGTGGATTAAGAGAGAGAGAGAGAGAGAGAGTGGTAACACTGATCAAATCAGCATGAAAATCCAGAAACAACTTGGATATTGCCGGTCAAAATTTGGGTACCCAGGCAACAACTAATCAAATATCCAATCAGTGTGGTACGTGCAACATTGGGTCACCCGACAACCCAAGTTTCGATGGAAAAGTAAAAGAAATATGTAACCTCTCAGAAAGGGGATGGCATGGGTGCAACAAATGGCTTCATATAAACGGTACCTAGGTTGACAAGTGGAGATTATGACAGGAGCTTGTTGTGGAATATCAGAGAAGTAGCTAAATTCGCAGAAGAGACAAGCTGGTTTTGTATTCGAAGAATTGTTCTTTAACGACACATTTTTACTTAAGGTGAGAATACGATCAAATGTGCTCATTGTGTTGAACTTTCTGGGAAAAAAAAATTCTCTGTTTCTTTTCATTGTATCTTTTGACATTTCCTGTCATTCCCTTAACAGGTGGATCCATTAGACTGTTAACGGATCCAGTTAAAGACTAATGTCAAAGGCCTGGCCCATTAACTCATGTAACCTGTAATTAAGCAGGAAACCCATGATAATTGACACATTCATTTTAAATTGTGGAAACCCTGCTCCAAGAAGTGGTGACTGGTTCATCTTCCTGGAAGAGGAGAATCGTGAAGATCGACTCCTTTCATTCTCCAAGTTGCAGAAATCTCAATCAAGATCAATTGTCAACACTTTGAACTAAAACATTGTAATGTCAATGGAAAAGCCACATTAAAGGTAAAATAAGAAAAAAAATTACGAATCCAAAGCAAAAGAAACATATCCCAGAACTTGAAACATGTCACTTGAGGATGTGAAAACATGTACCTGTATAGACTCCAATTCAACTTGGCGAACATTATTTTCAACACCCTTTGTATATTCTCGTAGTTTTGCACCTTTTGCTAATATATTTGCAATTTCCTGTGAAACAATCATGTCTAAGTAGACAAACAGTAACTTGAAGCAAATGGAAAGAAGACTCTTCTTTTTATATCCTCCATCCTTCATTAAATCTGAATCCTTAATAAAAAAACAACAAAAAAATACATGAATCACAAGTATTTAGACGTCTTTGAATCGGATGCTCTCCCATACAAATCGAGAAAAACCAAATTCATAGAGAGCTCTTTGAATATTATTCTGTTTTAAGCTCTAGAGAATGGGTCATATATTTAACCACCAGAATCTACACCGTTACCAAAGATCTGAAAAAATGACAGTACCCCCATGATGACATGCGGAATTGTTCCACATACATTTGTAGTTTCTGTTGCAGGGCTTGGGGACGTATATGCAATTATCATTTATATGTCTCTTCCTATTAAACACCAAGGAATAGAATAAAATATCAATTGATGATTAGTAGAGCGTGGAAAGCCAAATTAATCCCTCCCATAGTTTTGTTGATACTGTTACTGTCATTATCAACATAAACCTCATCCCATGAACACTAAGACACGAAACCTCAGTAACAGCTATATTGAATTGGCAAAACATACTAACAGCTATATTGAATTGGCAAAACATACTAACAGCTATCCCGCATGATGTCAGTAGTTAATGGAAAGTTCCAGGGCAAGGTGATTTAGATAGGTTTCAGAAAGGCCGTACGAGATCATGAAAAACAGTCTTTTAGTCACAAAATTTCAGCCCACAAAAGCAAGAAACATCAATCAATGATCCCCTAGTCACTGAGGTTTACAGTCAGAAGGTAGGAATAAAGGGATGAGAGAGAGAAAAAGAGAGGGGAAGAGAGGCAAGGTCAAAATATGAGTATGCGATGTTGTGTATAGCAACTGTCAGTCAAATAATGGTTTGAACAAAAACTTCTTGTCTTCTGGATGAATGAGCTTTTTGGGATATTTGTGAACCAGAAAGCCAGAAGACAAGGATACGACCTAGTGCTTCATCAACTACAGCTAAGGCAAGTGTCATCAAGCCAAGATCCTATTATAAAATAAATAACCCAGTTTCAAGGTCATGTCTAGACTCGACTCTACAGATACATGGGAGAAGGAATTCATGTGCCTGATCTTTGGTCATCGCCTGGCCCCATCACAAACATCCAAGAGGCCTAACCTCCCCCTTGTTTGTGAACCAATTACAACCCACTGCATGAAGAAAATTCTCGCATGTTATGGAGGGAAAAAAATGAAATTTGACTGGGTTGAGCAGTAGGTAGCCCTTAAACGAACCACACTCCACTATCCCATCTCAGAAGTTTTCAGCTGACCTTCATTTCAAGCCAAGTGCCTTTGCTTCTTTCTTGTGACCATCATAGCCTTTAGGCCTCACTTTCAGAGAAGCCTCACTCCCACAGACTTGATTCATGTCCTGTTCCCTTGATGGAAAGGGTTTCAACACCACTTCCTTCAGCCACTGCCATCGTCGATTTCACTGATCAAGCACTACCCATAATCCTGCTCATCACGCTGTTTTGGCCATCATTGTTCACCTCACTTCCATTACTGTTCGCCAGAATTCCCTCATCAAATGTTGACTGTGCACATGTGAAGGGTTTCTCATGCGATACACTGCTCTTATGAGCGGCAGAGATGTATTAATATGTATTCCACAGACCCATCACTCAAATTATTAACATAAGCAAGCATATCTTCCACACCTTGAAGAGAGCATTGGTAAACTCTCGGTATATGATTGCATCTGACTTGAGGGGATGTTAAGAGAGGACAGTATACTCCATGTCTAGTGATTTTCTTATTTTTTATATTTTATATTACCCTTCTTCGGTCTTATATACAAACCATTAACATGGGAGAGTTATGCTGTCCAGTTCTCCCCACTCTATCTACTCACCAAATGTTGTACGAAGCCTACTCACCTCACATTGGGACCTAATCAAGTGAGGTATTTATTTTTAGCTTTGAGGAACTCAGCTGTAAACTGATCAAGCACTGATTAGTCAAATCAGCAACACAGACGTAAGCATGAACGGTAGTTGCTTTCAAGATAAATAATTGAAGATCTGGAAAAGAATACTCACATCATTATTTTTACAGTCTTCAAGTTCATCTTGCAACCCATCTAATGACACATCATCACTTCAGAAGACATAACAGATACGTGAGCACTTCTACTACTGAGACATCTTCAATTAAATAAAGTTTGACAAAAAAAGTTTTTAATAGAATCAAGATAATCAATGACTTGAGGTGATGCAACCATGATATTATGAATCACATGCTCCTCGGTAGTATGAGTTTCGTTTCATTATTTAACAGCTGGAAAGTCATAGCAATGAAATATTGAGCACCAGGGTTCTATTTCAAGCAGGCTTATATAGAGTGAATCAAAGCTGTGTGAAGCTGTGTGAAGCTGTGTGAATGGATGATATATCACATTTAATCTATATTAATTAATTACCTAATTAGGACACCAACAATCAGATTTTATATTTTTCATGAATGACACGATGTGCAGCTCTCTTCATAGATCAGGGGAACTTAGGCACCCTATATTTTTCATTTTTCTTTGTTTCATTGTGTAAACTCGGCTCCACACACAAATAGCAGAAAAGGAGTTTTTTTAGGTTACCTTGGCATCAAAAAATCAAATTAACCACATAAAATATGGATCAAAAATGTTTAGCTACAAAGGTTTCATTGTTTTCTTGAAATGGTCATGGAGAAGAGAAGTTTGTTTCAGTAAATCAGAGATAACCGCGTCTTCAATCATTATAGCTCGGACCATGATGAGAGCAATCTATCAGGAAGAAATTTGAGGAAATTTCAGTTAAACAAATCGATAGAGCAGTACATTGTAGACAGTAACGAGGTTACCCTTAGATAACCCTACTTTTTCGTAATTTCTATAAAATTATCGATCTCTCTACTAAATAGATGTCCTGTGATCTTGACAGCTTGTCAAATATTTATCTTTCCTCTTATGTAAGTTGACGCATTTCTGCTCTGTTGACATAATAGTTTTTCACATATTATTGTTCTTTTTTATTCAGTAGAGCAGCGTTTTACCCACTACATAATGACAAAAAAAAACCAAAGCTCTGAACTAAAATACACTCCATGGGTATAATTCGTATTCTAGTAATGGAAAATGGAAAATCGTGGTCAAAAAGATGCAAAAAAGTAAACCAACACAAAGGTAGGGGCGCCAAGAAAAAACTTGCAGCTAGCATCCTGATATCAGGGGAAGGGTGAGAATGGTAAGTGAATATACCACAGCACCTTGTCAGAATTCTAGAGCAGACACCATTTTTATTTTTTTGTTGAGGAGATGAACTTACATACTTCTTATACAATCAATACAACCACTAAAGCTCAATGAATCGTTATGTCATAGACAAAGACAAAGAACGTACCTGCTGGAGTCGTCATCTAAACTCAAATCCCCAATAAGCATTCCCAAGTCGAATCCCGGCTTTTGGTTGCTTTCAGTGTCATTAATAGTGTCCTAAAGTCAGAGATTTCAGATATTAGACGGAAAGAAAATAACAAGTAAGCAATAATTCACTGCACACAAAAGAATTTGAACTAGTGTAGACATGAGCGATCTACACCAAAAAAATATGACAGGATGGATACATATTGGCTTTGTAAGAGTGCAACATTTGATGGAAGATTGCGGATCTCTGGCACAAAGCAATCGATAGAAGGTCGAAAAAGAATTTGGGTCGCTTATTGATCACAATGGAGAAGATTGGATTTACATGTTCTCTGCCCTCTCCGTGCATTTATACCAGCCATAGGTCTTTTTAAGGGATCCGAAATGGAAAGAAAGACAATGGTATTGTGCTTTTCAAAATAATAACAGCAGGAATGCTCAGTAGATCCAGTGTCTCTACTTTTACAAGACATTATGAACGAATCTGTACAAAGAATTACATTCGTGACAGGGAAAGTTCCACCAGATGAATAAATGTACAGACAAGAACAAAGCTCAAAAAGACGGGGAGGTCATCGCTCTTCCCGCAACTCTGGCACAGTGATTGATCTTAAACTCTCACTTTACATATCAAGTTGCACAAATTATAAACCAATGGCATGCTGATCTGACCAGTGCCGATCACTTATAATCATTTACACAGATGAGAAACGACGAGAAGCTGCTTAAATTCGTGGGTTTCGAGTCTACGGTGAATCTTTCCACTGCGACAAGAAGAAACCTGGCACAATTCGTCGCCCGATAATTCCAAGAAACCATCGGAAATTTCATTTCACCGAAAAAGGTCTAATTCTCCAGAAAAAATTGAGTCCGCATAGTCCATATTTGCTCCTGGCAGAAACTCCGCAACGCCATCTGATCCAACCCGTTTTGCAAGATATCTCCGGCGGGAATCCACACATCATAAATCTCTATGTCCCCAAGCCTGGATCATCAACCTGCAGAGGGATTCGAACGAGAAGATGAGCTCAAACCTGTAATTCGCTGGAGGGTGAAGAGTGCTCCGGATTGGCCACGGCCGCCGACATGCTTGCCGCGACCTTCTTCTCATGGGCAGCAGAGTATAACTGAAGAAGTTTTTAATATAATAATAAATTTTTATGTGCGGGGTTTATCGATTGCCGTCTTAGCTCAGCCGGTAGAGCGCGTGGCTTTTAACCACGTGGTCGTGGGTTCGATTCCCACAGACGGCGGTGTCATTTTTTGACGGCGCCTTCCAAAATCCTATCCATTTTAGGAAACTATTATAAATAGTTAGTTCTCTTCGAAATCTCGAAAATAATTATTAATTCCAGGTTCGGTTTGGTCAAGCAGGTTATATATATTAAACCAACCAATCACATCATTCGCTTGGAACTCATGACTATGTTTGCGTAAAAAAGAACTAAATAAAATCATAAATCCTTGAACAACTTATTAAAGACTGTGCCTTTATTACTATAAAAGGGCCTCATCATCATCAACATGGGCAAATAGCTGTTAGTCAACTCATTGCCGACCGTTAATACACGATCTCAGCCAAATCTATGATTCATCATCAACTCGTTAGTCAAAACGTTGCAAGCCCGCAGCTAAAGTTTCTTCCCATCTTTCCTGTTATGGAATCACTCATATGCTCCATTAATGTTTATTAATACAGTTTACTTAATATGGATGCTTCAGTGAACCCAAGATTAGTGCTCATTTGCAAGCTGCATGATGGATGGTTTTTGTGGCATTTTGTATGAGCTTGGTCTTTTTTCTGTATTTAATGATGTGATATTGATATTGATTTTTATAGTTTGTGCTATGGGTTTTCTAGCTTCAGACAATAAAGTGAAAACATAATCATTTTTTAAAAATAATAAATCCCAAATAATATGTTTGTCATGTAAGATTAATTTTTTTTTTGAGAGATTTTATCAACATCTTCAATAGGATTATTGCCAGTAAATTGATGATAATATGATTTTACTGGAGTTTTAAAATTAATATTATTCCCTTATGTGGTATCTTCGTCACTTGAGCATTAAAAAATAGACGTGAAAGCTTGTAAATGAGCTTTATATCACAATTTTATGTTAACAATTTGATACACAAGATTTAAAGTTGGAAAATATAAAATCATTATTCTGACCACTTTTGCTTGCTTTTTTCGGCACCAAATTTAGGAGAATAAAAAAACAAATGGTAGCAACATTTCTTGTCATTCTCGTCGAACATTTTAGGTAATGAAGATATTATAAATAGTAAATAAGGCTAATTCACTAATTAAATTATATTCCCTAGAGGATTGGGAATGATGTGGCTGGTCATTCGTTTTTTTTATTTAATTAATGAATTCATTAAATCTACATCATTATCAAGATTTTGATTGTTCATTCAAAAGGTATACACTTCCTCAATCTTATGACAATAATAAAATAATGAATATTTTATCCAAAAAATACGTTAATATTCGTGCCGTGTGCTTCCCCTCTCGTCGACACTGTGACGACGGCGTCTCCCCTTGCCGTGACGTGTGCTTCCCAGACTGCAGACCTTGGACGCGTACAGAGAGGGACAGACAGACACTGAGCAGAGAGAGAGAGAGAGAGAGAGAGAGAGAGAGCGAGCTCGAGAAAGACAGACTGAGGACTTAGAGAGGACAGAGACGGAGAGAGAAAGAGAGCACGAGGGGAGAGAGAGAGAGAGAGACCCCATCCGAAAGAAAGACGGAGAGAGAAAGAGAGAGATAATGAAAGACAGAGATAGAGAGAGAGTGAGAGATCCAAAGAAAAATCGTACTTACCCCTTTAAGAAAAATCAAAATATAGCTTGTTCAAGGATTCAAAAGGAATAGACTTTCCCTAAAAAATAGAATAATGAATCTTTTATCCAAACAAATTTGCATATTCGGGTCACGCCCTCCCCTCTCGTCAATGGTGTCACGGGGGCGGAGACAGACAGAGGAGAAATTGAGAGCGAGTCAGAGACAGAGAGAGAAAGAGAGAAAAAAAGAGAGAATGAGAGAGACAGAGAGAGGCAGGCAGATAGAGAGGGAAAGAGAGAGTGGAGAGAGAAAAAGAGAGGCAGACAGACAGAGACAGAGAAAGAGAGAAAAAAAGAGAGAATGAGAGGGACAGAGAGGCAGGCAGATAGAGAGGGAAAGAGAGAGTGGAGAGAGAGAAAGAGAGGCAGACAGACAGAGACAGAGAGGGAAAGAGAGAATGAAGAGAGAGAAAGAGAGACAGGCAGACAGACAGACAGACCGAGACAGAGGGAAAGAGAGAATGAAGAGAGAGAAAGAGAGAGAGAGAGAGAGACGCAGTGAGAATGAGAGAGAAAAAAAGAGAGAGTTAGATAGAGAGCTCATCTGTGGCAGGAGATGTTGCTGGTCCCATAGCTGATAGCCTGCAAGCTCGGGGCTTCCATATCCGTCTCCCACTTCCTGATCCCCCTTTCTTGCTCCCCTCCAAGGTTGTACGCGTACGAAGCCCACCCTTCCTCACCACCACCACAACCACCACCACCATCGCTGCCGCCCTCCCTCATCCGCCTCTGCGTCCTCTCCAGCACTACCAGACTAGAGAAGGTGGAGTAGCTGTTGCCGACGAAGATCTCCGCCCTCAGGCACACCTCGTAGTCGATCGCCGATCTCACCAGGTACGGCCATCGCTGGTAGGTTTCCCAAGCTCCCACCATCTTCTTCTCCACGGGAACCAGCCCTTCCTTCCATCCGCGGAGGATCGATCCGTCCTCCAGCAGGGCGTCGGCCACCGCAATGTACGTCACCATCGGCGCGATCAGGCCGGGGATGCTCCCCACCCTGGCCATGATCTCTTCCTTGCTGCTGCAGATCTGGTTTGTGTTGGATCTGCGCTCCAGGTGCTTGCAGTGGATCATCCAGTCCTTCTCGATCCTCATGTGGACGGCCATGTAGGGAACGGGGACGCGAGCCATGGCGGAGGTGTTTCCAGATCTGGAATTCAGTCCTTTGGCTCTGATCTTCGCGATGACACCGGCGGCGGCGTCGGCGATTTCGTCTATCAGCACCAGGCAGTCGAAGATCCTGGCGTACTGCTTCACAGGCCAGTGATCGAGCCAGAGGAAGGGGTTCTTCCCGACAATACGGATGACCTCGGCGCCGTCGTCGGGGCCGATCTGGATCTCCTTCAACTGGTTCAGATCCCTCTCCGCCGTCCACTTCCTCCCGCTGCCTTTCTGGATCTCGATTGGCTTCGTCCGGTCGGAAACCTCCGATGCCCTCCCCACCCGGACAAATCCGCCACAGAGATTGTTGAATTTCCTAAGATCAAAGACCTTGTCGAAGGCAATCGGTTGCAGCCGATCCATCTCCTTGTAGAACAGAGAGGCGCTCAAGCTCGGCATGAGAAGCGTCCGATTCAGCAGCCTCGCCGTCAGGGAAGCCCGAGCGAATGCGATCTTCTGGTTGTTCAACCCCCACACAATCTGCGGAACCTCCAGGAACTTGTCCGATCTGACCGGAGACTGCTCATCAGCCTTCAACGCTTCCAGCGACCAGTAGATTTCTCTCCTCTTGAACCAGAGGAATCCCGGGTGGTAAGAGGAGACTACGGCAGTCCGGAGAACGAGAGCAAGTAGAAGAAAAAGGGACAATCTGTAGATCAGAGTTGTGTGCGCCTGGAACACCTTCTGGCAGTTGCAGAAGCGGTGGTTCATTGAGATTTCCTGCCAAATGGTCCGCGTAGATTCACCAGTTGATTGGTTCCAGTGGAAGAAAATCCCTCGTCCCTGCAGCATCCGCGTAGGAAGAACAGATGAGAGAATGTAAGACTGCAGAAAAATAGTTCCATCCACTAATTTTTTGAAGAATTCGAAGGAAAACCAGGCAAATTCAAAGCGGATGGGAGGAACAAACATCCAAAGGGAGGAGCATAATCGAATTGGAAGAAATCACAGGTTCATCCTGGAAGAAACAGAGACCTGTGGATTTCACGGAACTCATCAGAGCAAATCCTACTGGATTTCTGCATCTACGAACATAAAAGCCTCCTCGAATCCACCTCTCTGGAAAGACGCGATGAAATTCGTCGGGAACAACAATGCAGAAGAGGGAAAAAAACAAATTCATTGGGAAGAACAGAGCCCCCGTCCTCCCCTCCCCCAGAAAAACCCGTGAAGCAGACGTCCCACTCTTACCGCCGTCGGCATTCCTCGAACTCCGGCCAGCCGGCGCCATTCTCAGAACCAGAGCACCCATTCACCGAGCGCCTGTCCTCTCTACTCCGAATCAAGATGAAGAAGGAGAGAAAGGAGCTAAGGGAAGCGAGGGGATTTAGAAATGCGTCCGCCTTTCCCTTTCCTCCCTCCTGGGATGATAGAGAGAGAGATAGGGAGGGAGGGAGAGAGAGAGAGAGAGAGTTGGGGGGGGGGGGGGGGAGGTGCCAGATCTCTAGAAAATTCTGGGTATTTTACACAAAACTCCAATTTAAAGAGAGTATGAGCGCAATTAGATGCCTAATGAGGGCCAATCGTAACTGTCGTTTACCGCGCCTATAGCTGGAGACATCGCCACGTGGCTTGCCCAGGGAGCGGTAGACTTCCGAGCCGCTTCCAGCGAGGTAATCTCTCTCTCTATCTCTCTCTAGGCGCAGAAGGAGACGAAGGCCGTCGTGCGAAAGCTGTCTATAAATGTGTTAATTTCTTCTTTCTTTGTCTCTCTCTCTCTCTCTCTCTCTAGCGCTGAAGGCTGCGATGGTAGAGCGGGGCGATAAGGGAGGAGGGGGAGGAGAGTGGATGCGCGTCGTGGGAGAGGCGCTGATGATTCCCGGGGCGGCGTACTTGATCGGAGTGGAACCTTTCCTCTCCGCGCCGCTCCCTCTCTGTCAGTGTCCATGTTCGCCCTCTTTTCCGGTGGCCTGCTGCTCCTCCTCATCTCCCTCCGCCGCCCCACCTAGCGCCGGCACCGGTGTCGCTCCTCCGGCGATGGAGCTGCCGCCGCCGCCGCCGCCGCCGACGTGAGCCAAGTTCTCATCCGGTCGTCATCACGTTTAATAAATTCGCGCCGATCCAGGACAGGGTTGGAAATTTTCTCAGAACCAATTCTCATACTCTCTCTCTCTCTCTCTCTCTCTCTCTCTCTCTCCGTAGAAGAACACCGCAGCAATGAACAATTGAAGCCGTAGAGTATTCGAAGGCCTGAAAGTCCGCAATCCGAGTAAAATAAAATAATGTGTAAAAATAATCTAAAGTAATGATGTGGCATCAACATCATGTAAAAATAATCAATCACGAAGATGAGACTTGATCTTTCCTTGTGTCGTGTAAAATAAAATAATGACAAAAGGAAGGAAAATCCATGGACCGCCAGGAAATTAGAAACATAAATCCAGTAGCCCAAACAAGATGTCCCCTATGATTAGTTTTTCGGGAAATTTCCAAATCTTTTCTTATTTTTTATTTATTTATATTAGACCTTCCTGTTCTTTTCCTTTTGTTCTACTTCGGAGAGGGGAGATCCCGTCGGATTTTTGCGGAAGACCGCCAGTTCTTGCCGTCCATGTCCATAGAACGGCGAGAAGAGGGCGAGCCTGATCTAATTCGTCCCCTACGAGCTAGTCCAAGGTCAACGGTATCTTCAATTATTATCTAATTTGCATAAAATTTTCATCGAGCAAAGTTTCGATTAAAAATATCTGATTCGAAGAGATTCCCGAACCTAATGGGATTAGAAAACAATAGATTTAGCCTAAAAATAATGGTAAGGGCACGTCGAATTTTCCCCTCGGCTTCCCTGAAAATAGGATGAAGTTGGAGGGAAGGTCGAATTTTCTCTCTTCTCCTGCCGCTCTCTCTCTCTCCCTCTCTCCCCCTCCCCATCCCCATCTGGGCCCTGAAATCTAAGAAACTCGGGGGTTTCGAGAGCTCAGATGTTCACATTATCGATTCCAGCCTCTTGCCCTCGAGGGATTCCAACCTCTCTCTCTCTCTCGCTGGGCGCCGAAAAAGGAGATGGCCGCCGTGGGAAAGCTTACTCTTCGCAGAGCGCACGTACCCCTCACCCCCATTTCTCTCTCTCTCTCTCTTATTCATCAACTCTCTAGAAGTATGACATCAGCAGACGCTCTATCCAGATGGTATGATTTCTTGAAAGTACTTGAGGAAGCTTCGCCGAAGTCAAATCACCTCCGGTGAATTTCTCAAACCACCTCTTCTTACAAATAGGCGGGCGGTTTCTACTAGGTCAAGCGCAATCATCTCTCTCTCTGTCTCTCTAGCTAGCTAGCTAGCGCTGAAGGCTGCGATGGTAGAGCGGGGCGATGAGGGAGGAGGGGGAGGAGAGTGGATGCGCGTCGTGGGAGAGGCGCTGATGATTCCCGGGGCGGCGTACTTGATCGGAGTGGAACCTTTCCTCTCCCCGGCCGCTCCCTCTCTGTCAGTGTCCATGTTCGCCCTCTTTTCCGGTGGCCTGCTGCTCCTCCTCATCTCCCTCCGCCGCCCCACCTAGCGCCGCCGCCAGCGTCGCTCCTCCGGGCGTGGAGCTGCCTGTGTAATGGTGGATGATGGTACCAAATATATATAGACATTGGGAAGTGAAACTCATCAGAGCTAATTTGTTTGTCATATTCATACTCAACTTATGTAGAAGATCAAATAAATATGTATGTAAAGCAATTTAATTTGCAGATAGATAGATAATGGAGTCTTACATCAATTCTCTTGTTTTGAAAACTCTCAACGGAATTTTATAGTTGAAATAAAAAATAAATATTTATTGAATACTGGTTTGAATTTATGTTGACTTCAAATTTAATCATCAATAATATGTTTATTAAAATAATGGTGTTGAATACTGGAGCATATGTATTCATTAGATACCCATCGTGCATGAGATAATATAAATTACTCAACATGTATACTAGATAAATTAATGCAAGATTTCCAATTTTCTAATATATATATAGGGATATCTCTCTCTATTTATATATATTGAGAGAGAGAGAGAGAGAGAGAGAGAGGGCGTTTATTTTCTTAATGCTCTGTCGTGTGACAGGTCAAATCGGGGGCTATGGAACTGAATGAGAGAGGGTGGAGCAGATGACGGGGCGAAAACGGGGCTGAAACGACGGCAAGAGCTCGGGCGCCCAGACAATTCAACGGCTCAAACGACGCCACGCGGAGAAGATGAGGCCGGTGAAAACGTGGCAGGTTATCGGATGGGTAAGATTGGAGATGACGTGGAGAAGGGTGGGAGGGAGGGAGAGAGAGGGAGAGAGAGAGAGAGAAGGAAGGAGGGAGAGAGGGAGGAGAGAGAGAAAGAGAGGGAGGGAGAGAGAGGGGGGAGAGAGGGGGAGAGAGAGAGAGAGAGAGAGAGAGAGAGAGGGAGGGGGGAGAGGGGCGAAGAGAGAAGAGAGGAGAGAGAGAGAGAGAGAGAGGGAGGGGGGAGAGAGGGCGAAAGAGAAAGAGGGGGAGAGAGAGAGAGGAGGGAGAGAGAGCGAAAGAGAGAAAGAGGGGGAGAGAGAGAGAGGAGGAGGGAGAGAGAGCGAAAGAGAGAAAGAGGGGGAGAGAGAGAGAGGTGATGGCCCCGGTAGTGGTGGCCATGAAGGGTCACCCGGGCACCGGCAAGAGCACCCTCGCTCGCGCTATCGCCGCCGCCCTCAGCTGCCCTCTCCTCGACAAGGACGACGTGCGCGACTGCACTCTCCCCGTCGATCAATTCCTCCGCCACCCGACCGGCGGTGCCGGCGGTAGCGCCGCCGCGCTCTTGAACAACCTCTCCTACCAGGTTCTATGGCGGATGACGGAGACCCAGCTGCAACTTGGCCTCTCCGTCGTCGTTGACTCCCCACTTTCTCGGAGGGCCCATCTGGACCGCCTGCTGGAGGCGGCCGGCGGCGCCGCCGCCCGAGTGGTGATCGTCGAGTGCCGCCCCGGGGACGAGGCCGAGTGGCGGCGGAGGGTCGAGGAAAGGGGCCGCTCCGCCGGCGAGTGGCACAAGCCGGCCAATTGGGGAGAGCTGGAGGCCCTCCTGGAGGGGTACGGCGGCGGCGCTGACTATGATCTCGGCGGCGTGCCAAGACTGGTCGTCGACACGACGGCGGCGGGGCGGCGGATAGAGGATCAGGTTTCTTCCGTGATCCACTTCCTCAACGCATGAAATTCAACGAATTCTATGAAACTAAATCTTCCCATCCTCCCATATTCTTCCTGTTCCTGCTCTCTCGTACGCACCAATCTCTCCTCATCGCCATTGAAATCAAGGATCAAAACATTGACAAAGCACCAAAGTCAAACCACGTTGAAAGATCTTGCACAGAATTAGCAAAGGAGTCGTTAATTAATCACTGGTAGGAATTGTTCATATGATAAATATGGAAGGTCAATGATAAGAAAGCATCACTCATTGAAAAGAATCGATGAATGAAACTGATTGCATCAAATATCCTGGAACAAGGACGAAACATGGGTCAAAACAAGTTCAGAGATCAAGCAAAAAAACAAGTAATATGAGTCGTTTAACATGGAAGCTGACTGATAAGAGAACATCATCACTCGGGGATGATGAAGAGAATAGACCAGGATTGGTGTTCTTGATACGAATCAGTTCATCTAGACTATGCAATCTAATTGATTTAATTTCCATACATATTTTGTTCAGAAATTCAGAAAATACTTTGAAGAATAACCACGCTGAAGTTTAGAGGGTAGAACACGAATTCACTTCATCCAATAATAACTAGAAGAGATGCACGACACAACGATTTTTATAGCAGTTTGACTTTTCATCCATCCACTATTCTGCCGTACATTCTATGCTAGCTTGCTTCTGCCAGCCGACAAAGATGGATCCAAGTTTGTGTCCAAGTCAAAGGCCAGATACTGGATAGAGTAAAAAAGAGACCACTAGTTACCTCATATGTTATGAATTGTATGACACCAATTCCCGTATGATAATAGCAATTTGAGAGAGATTTGGTTTTATCACTTCAACATGAGCGCCATGTAAATGGAAAATTAGAGCGATAAATATAACATATAGTTGATATATATAATCTACAAGGATAAAAAAAATTAAGGTTTCTCATGGTTGATTAAATATGATGTTCTACGTTGATTGTAGGAGATATATTAAATCTACCAATCATGATCTAGTGGGAAAATGCATGGTTTTTTCTGATAATCTCATGTCCCATCAATGCTCCTTTTATTTTCTTGAAATCTTATAAAGTTCAGAAAAAAATAGAAAACTTTATTAAGATAATTTATAACCAGTATGAGAATTGTAAACGTTTGTGTAAATCATTTGTGTGGTTTGGGGGTCATCTCTCACTCGTGGACTTGAGAACCAGACCATTTCTGCGGACTATTCTCACTTAAATGGGCCGTCCGGGCTTATTGGTCGTGGGCCCACTAAAAATGAGAAGTGTCGCCGTTATCATAAACGCTAATAGTGAAGACGAAGGGTAAGACGAAATAGCAGCCACCTATTTCGTGTGGTTGGAGGTGGAGTGGCAAATTTTGTCATCATTGTAACAACCATACAATTAATTCTTGAGGAAATGAAGAAATCGATCAGGAAGAGGTTAATATCATAAATTACGTAACATTCATAAATATAGAAATAAGATTGGGTTGGATGTTAACTACATGAAGATTTTTTTTTTTTAAAAAGATAAGGAATAAACTATGGATCAATCTATGCAAATATTTTGTAAACCCAAGTGATTTTTTCCCAAATTTTTTACTCCAATTGGAATAGGGATCTCATGTTTTAATGAATCATGAGTCTAGTTAGTCAATGTTTGAGAGAAAAATATTATGGATGGATTCGATATGTGAGAAAAAATGATGAGCGATTCTAAATAATGAAAATTTGAGCAAGTGTTGATAAAATCTTCTTATGTTCAAATAAATAAGTCATCAAAACAATGTGACTAACTATTGCTCAATATCTTTTCTGTGAATGTCTTCTCTTAGTCTCCTTAATTATTAGTGAGTTACCAACATAGGTAGAAATACCTAACACTTTGATGATTCCATTTCTCACAATTAAGTTGTAAAACCATTTAAATAAGTATCCTCCTTCATTAGAAAGTAATTATTTTTGGTTAAAGAGTTTCTTTCTAGTTACTTTTGAATGATTAATAGATTCTTTAGGAAAATATTAGGTTCTACTTGTGATGAAACCATTTTATAAGGTGATGTGTTGATGCCCTTAATTTTGATAATTACAATTTTTTTTATTGTAAAGTCAGTGATTCATGTTTTAGATCAAGAGAAGATGAACTTGAGATTCATCTATCTAACTTGTAATTGATATGCAATTAATGTTTCATATATTCAATGATCTAATTCTGTTATATCACATATTGAATTCTTAATCTAGTTATTATGACTTTGGTTTTAACTATTAAATCCAACATTTTTAAAATTGAACTTAAATTGTTTTTTGTCATAATAATACTTGAAAACAAGTAATTATCAATTGATAAAAGATCACAAATAAAAGGTTATGTCATATAGGGTTGAATGACATGTGCCAACAAAAGTCATAGTGCACAATTCATAGGTTGTCACATGCATAGAATAAAATATGCCATACGGATTATTTATGATAATATAACCATCATGTTGTAGTATTTTTCTATTTAATATTATTTTTCGTATGATGTTACATATGTTCTCCAAGCTATTACAAGTATTAAATTAATAATAAGTTTGAAAATTCATTTTTTTTAAAAAATCAAAAATGACAAATGAAATCAAATGATATAGAATTGTCATAGATGCAAAGTTTTTTCCCATCTAGATATTTACATTGCATGATTTGGAGATGAATAAATTATCACATTGTCTTCATTAACTTGATTCAATAATTAACTAATCAAGTAATTAGATAATTAATATCTATTATACCTTAATTTAATTGAGGTTATGAGGAGATAATTGTTTTAACCAAGGCTCTAAGTGTTTTTAATTTTATTTGTCTTGACATGGGCTGATGTGTTGAATAATTTTTATGTAGATGATCTTGAGATTTAGACAAATATATTTTTTAAATTTAGCATGTATTTATGGGGAGAATAGTCAAATTCGAAGGATAAGTTCTTAGAGACTATAAGTAGTCTTATGAAGGATGAACCACTATACAAATTATGTATTCTTAGTGTAAAAGTACTGAGAAGTCATATCAATATCAATAACTCTTCACACATGTGTTGACACATGCATCACTTTTGTTGACACATATATTACTTGTTTTGACATAGACTAACATATGTCGTAAATCAACTAATAATAAAATAATTCACCATAAGTTATAGATACCTTACTTCATCCTCCTTTTCATGTTTTAATTAGTCACACAATTCAAATATGGTGTTTCCACTTATTAGTTAAAATATGTATGTTCTAAGAATAAATATTTAATTATCAATCATATAAATATTTTATGAAACCCTATCATTTGAATCATCTTTTTGAGAAATATGAAACAACTAAGTTGTAAAGTTAAAAAAATCTGTGTAGATAAGAAAAATAAGAATTGTCATTAAAATTTTAGGTGAAAAAAAATTATACAATTGATGATAATGAAAGAGAATTATTGGTTCAATTCTTCTCCACCTTAATATTAGAAAATAGAAGATATTAAATTCTAATGTTTGACTTACAATGATCAACCATCAAAAAGTGGCTTTGGTTATCAAATGGTTGAACAACTAATATCCTCAAGGATTGAGATATTACTAGGAATGGTTGAGCCAAAAGGCTTAACAACGTGAGATAGTTAGTTGAAGTTTTGTAAAAGATACTCAAAGGGTGACTACTTAACTTGAAGAGAGGGAATTAGATTTTGTATGCATATAAATTTTATATCAATTTTATAGTGATTGATATCTACCTATGCCTAATGTACAAAGAATCTTCAACTAAATAATTTTGGACAACCTTTTTCTAAAGGCATACTAGACCATACCCTCAATATTTTTTCTAGTAGATATATATACTCATAGTAAAGTAATATGCAACCACCACTATAGGTGAATTTGTCAACGCAGCCACCACTAGCGGCGGGTGTTGAAATTAATCTTAATGTGGATAATGATATATAAATTATATATTATAGGGTTATTATTGAATTGATTTCACTTAAAGTGATTCATTAGAGTTTAAGTATTTATGATTCCAACCTCTCTCGTAAGTATGAACATAAATATAAATATGTGTAGAGATCAGTTCTTATTTCCATTTTATAATGGGTTAAATTAGAAAAAGATAACAAGAGGTTGAACACCTCTTAACTATAACTAGGAGGTCATGGTCTTTGGGTTGCACATTGTGAGTCACTCTTAGAACACCCCATCTCTTTAGAACAAGTCATTGGATGACTCCCCTGTGTTGATCTAAAAGACCATCCTCGTACTTGCGTTTTCATGAATTCATGTATGTTTTTTAATCTATTTTTATTATATTTTATCATTCTTCATCTACATCATTGGATGACACCTAGTGGTGGTGGTTTTATCGGTGCAGCTTCTATGAGTGGTGGAGTTAGAGTCTTATCAGGAAGTGGGTTTCGCATTAGGTCCGCGCATCATTTGCTTTGAGATGGACATGTTCAATTCATTCATATTTGAATAGAAATTGTAGCTCTGGCAATGGCCGGCTACTGCTTGATCCTATCTACTCTTGCAGACTATGACGGATTGGTTTCCTCAATGTGATGTGGTGAAAACGTCTTGCTTTCAGGTGGTTTTGGGTCATTTACTCCAAAGCAGAGTGTTGGTTGCAGCGTTTCCTCATTTAATGCAGATGAAGAAGTAATACCAAATGAGAAGGCCTCCGGTCTCTAGCCTCCAGCCTCCCCCAATAAGGCCCTTTTCATTTTTCTAAAACTTTAGAAGTTCAACAATACTGATATCTAGTAAATTTCACGATGATTCGTTTGCTATTGGGTTCAACAAATGAGATTGAAATCCCATTTCAAAATTCAAATATTGCAATTCAAAAATGGTATAATGAAGCCTTTTAATAGAGAATTTAATCATATTTATTGGACTAAACTTCATTGCTGGTCGTCAGCTACTCTTCAAGCTTTGTGATGATTATTAGAATGGAGAAATCATTTATCTATTCATGAATTCAAAGCTATTGAAG